TGTTGAGAGTCCAGATGAACCTTTCTAAAGTACATGGCATTAACAGTGTTCCCTACTTAAAATTAGCCAAATGCACTGACCTTACATTCGGATGCCAAGGTTCTTTGACCTTTGTAATGAAAAGTAGCTTGTAATTCAACAGCAAGTGGAAAGACTTTGCTTTTGTGTGTTCTGTGATGCTGCCTCAATGTTCTTTTTCAGTCTATAAGCTTATCATCATGGGAAAGCCAATGTAAAATGTTAACAGAACAGTAATACTTCTGAAAACCATTCTAAAGGTCAAGGACAGATTCATGATCACCCAGCCATCTAGCATCAGATCAATCCAGGAATTCTACAGAGGCTGTGAAAGTGGGTGCCCCCACTGTATAATGTTTACATTTTAATCCTGATGCAAACCAACTCAGAGCTTATGGGATTGCCTCTTTTTCCATGGATCTTTCTAGCTCTATTCCTGGTCTGCTTTTTCTTTCTATTCATTTTCTCTTACCAGTCACCCATTTTTCTTTCCTTAGATGTAGTCAGCTCACTTATGCACAGCTCTTATGCTAAGGAACAGAGGCTGAATGTGAGTTGCACCTCAGGATACCCTTGCCTGATCACCGTCTGCTTCTTCCAAATTATGACCTCTGCAAATTGCATCACTAATATCAATGGGCAAATTTGGCCCTTCCATTACAAACAAAATGGAGTTTTGAAAGAGATCAAGCCTATGTGGGTTTGTATGTCCTTTAGCAAAATGCAACCCTGATCTTCAACAGGGTTTCTGGAAACTATTGTAATATTCCTGTGAAAAAACCCAAAATGTGGAGGCTTACAGCAGTCTGTAGGTATTGACTCTGTGACCAAAGTACATAGCCAGATGTTCCCCACTTTGAACCCAATCCTGTTCTCAGACAATGGCAAAACTCCTATTGGCTCCAAAGGAGTTGACCTTCCTACTTTTCTGTTGGCCTTACTGTCCAAACACATTTTGTTATCACAAAAATATCTTGCATATAGGCCAATTAGGAAAACTATTTTTATAACGTTATTTTGTGTTTCATGGTTTAAATCAAAAACAAAGGCAAGAAACCTCTGGCTTCTGCTACAGAAGGTAAAGGAAGGTGTATAGTGTCACAGGATTATGCTCCTTGCTGGGGAAAGTCTGCTTTAGGACTCCAGAAGAAGCCTTACTTTGTTTCCCTCTCCTGGTGTAACTTTTCAAAAGGCAAGCCTCTGCCTTTGAGACCCTGATTCTTCTCAGTCCCTGGCTTCCCTGGGGACCTGTAGCACTCCTCTGGAGAGCTCCTTCCTTTTGGGGTCAGCTCCTGGGAAGAGGTGTATGCTTTCTTCTTCAAAATGGGAAGAGAGATCAGAGTACAAACATCTCAAATAGCATAGCTGACTGCTCAGTTATTTCGCTGCTACAGTTTCCTCTGTCCTTGCTTGGATTCCACTTTGAGCTCTCTAGGACTAACCTGTTTCTCCAGCTCTCTGTTACCCCAAGGATTACCCTTTCTACCCCCAGCTCTCTCTGAGTCTTATTCTTTCTCCCTCCAGACACAGTCAGTTTCACTTGCAACAAAATTATTACACAATTACATTTACCCAATCAAACAAAGCATGATAATATGGGGAACCAATCAGGAAGCAGTCTTTGCAACCCACTGCCAGGGCCAGACTGCCATCTCCCCCTGGTGTGAAAAGGAAATCTGCATGTCCTACTTACAAAATCATTTACAGCAAAACATGCTTATACTAAGCCTCCAGTGTGCTCCCCACCAGAACAGCAGGCTAGAATTGATCCTGCTTAGCCTTTTTGGTCATGTATAAGTGATAGTAAAAGGAGGGTTAGAGAGAAAAATCAGTCTTGCAAAGTAACAAAATAGCAACTCAAACTATTATATAAGCTCGAGCTAAAGATGAAAAGACTGGTACACATGGATTTTTAGGTTAAAGAACTACAGTAAAGGGTCTTCAAGTTTCCTGGTAGACATGACAATTATCTGATATATTCTAGAAATGAGATGAAGTGTTCAAAGATGAAATTTTCAAAATGTGTTTTATCTGATTGATTTTAACAGGATGACAGTGGAACCTACTTCTTGACTCTATCTGTGGCTCTTTAAAAGAGACAACTGGATTGGTGGATGGTTACACTAGAAGGAGCAATCTTCCCTGTGATGACTACTATTGGCCCCATTGCTTTTTGGGACCATTAGATCCACCGTGACACTACTGGATATTTATCAATAATCTTATCCTAAAAATGACCTGACCAGACTACAGAACAGCCAGAAAACCAGTTGTTATAACCATTTTCATTGGTTGAACATCCACAATGTGAATCTGAGGATTGTACTGTCATCTACTAACTAAATGTGTTATTTTTCTCTTGAATACTGTATTCCTTTATTTTATCTATCTATCTATCCCAAATTAGTTCTGTAAGTCTCAAAGGTTTCAGTTGTTTTCTTTTTTTATTCTGTGTATTTAATAATGAGATTTCTGCTGCTGGTTTTTAGAGCAGAAGCAAGGCTGGAACCACACTTAACTCTTAACAGCAAACAATGTTTTTATAACATCTTCTCCCTTGCTGGGCTTCAGACAAACCCTTATCAACATAATGTCTATCTCCCTAATGTATGCCTATACAATCTCAAACATTTTTGAAGCCAAATTTAACCTTAACAACAACAGCTTACTCTTTGGCTGAATTTGGCCCACCCAGATTACCAAGTTACTGAAAGATACAGTTATTTTATACACCCACCAATTGCTATACTAGTGCAAGTTACAATAAATTTGCCACTTTCACCTGTTTTATGATCAGCATAAACCTTTTAGTAGTGTTGTAGCTATGGTGGTCCAGGGACCACCATGATTTGTTTGCTAATGCCTTTAAAAATACCTGAGGATATTTTGTGCCTGAAAGTCATCTTGTACAAGTCTGGTCTAACCTAATCCTAAAACTATGCAAACAACTCAAAATGTGCAATCAATGAGGAGAGGCTGAAAAAGCTAGGCATGTTGTGGAAAAGGCACTTAAGAGAGGACATGACAGCAGTCTTCAAAGACATGAAGGGCTGCTGTAAAAAGGAGGGAAAACGCCTTTTCTCTCTTGCTGTAGAGAGGAGGGTGCAGACCAATGGCTTGAAGTTGGAGCAAAGTAAGTTTAAGATTGGATATTCAGAAAAAAATCTTCAGAGTTAGAACAGTATGGCAGTAGAATACACTGCCTACGAAAGTTGTGGACTCTCCATCATTGGAGTTGTTTAAGAAGTGTTTGGACAGCCACTGGTTGGGGATGATCTAGGCATAGTTATGCCTATGTTCTACCATGGGTATTTCCCATGCTTCTGGGCTTTGCTGACTGCCCTCGCTGCCTCCTCCCTTTTCTGCTACATGTGTCAGGGTGTTCTTAAGCCTTCCAGGCATTAGGTGTTGGCTAGAGCTAGGGACTTTGACTGGGGTGTGCCAGTGCTTCTGCTGGGACCAAAGCTAGAGGTTCCTGGCTAGAAGGCCTTGCCCCTTCACTTAGGGTCACACCAATCGCCATATTTGGAATCATGAAGGAATTTTACCCTATGGTAAAAAAGACCCTTTATAATTTCTAAGTCATTTTTAAAAACATGGAGCCCAGAAATGCACCCAATACTTGAAATAAAGCCTAACCAATGCTGAGTAAAAACAGAATATCACCTCTTGTATCCACTTATTTTAAACTGATGTAGCTCAAAACTCTGTTCATCTTTTGTGCATCTGCCACATGACAGATTCATGCAAAATCTATAATCCACCAAGACTCCTAGATCCTGCTCTGTAGTGCTCCCATCCAGCCAGTTGTCACCCATTTTGTATTTGTGTTGACGACTATTCTTCCCAATATTGTGTCTTTCATTGTCACCTTGCATTTATCAGCACTGAACTCCATTCAGTTGATTACAGCCTATGTCCAATTCAGTCTTGTTTATCATCTATTCAGCTATATAGTTGCTCCAATAAAAGGTATCAGCAAACAAATCCTGCTTTCAGCATATACCTTGTCAGTTATGAACTTGACCATAGATATTCATTATAACTGGTCTTTAAACATTGTCCTTTTCTAACACATGAAGGTACCTGACTCGGACTGAATTTTCCTTAGGTTCCGATAAAAATTCTTACCCAAATGTCTGGCTTCAGGACTACTGACTAACAAACAGAGGAGAATTGGGCTATTAGCAGCATACAGTCTCCTGAGAATGGGATGTGTGTGGAGACAGATAGGGAATGGTTTTACTGTCGCATGCATATGACTGACATATAGAAAGATTTTTCCATCTTGAAGCAAGATGAAAAGTCAATTTTTTTAATTGAAAAAAATAACAGTTGGGATCAGTCAAAACATTTCATGCTGATAGTTTTTATTGCAAACCTTTTAAAATCCATCTCAGCATCATATGCTTATTATAATTTAAAAATAAAAATTCATTTTGATTTGGAAAACTGAAACTGTGTGGTCCTAAAATGTCAAAATGGATGTTTTAACAATTTCCAAACTTTTTTCCCAAAAATGTTTTAAGTTGGGCATCTATCCCAAATGACTGTTTTTTTGCAAAGAGTTTTAGTGTCAATGCACTGGCATTCTTTTTGATGAAAACATGATTCATTGAAAAATTTCCAACCAGCTCCAGTGTCTACTGCATGAAGAAGTGACAAGACTGTGCACTAAGCAAATAAGTTTCTGTCATTTTTTTTTGTTGCTTTGATTCACAAGCTTGAATTTCAATAAATGTGACTAGGGTTGGGAGAGAAATGGTATGTGCATGTGCAGTTGTACTTTTTTTTATATCTAAACTTCTGTGTTTCCTCATCTCTTTGTTTATCTTTCGTCCGATGCAGTGACAGCATCTGACTCCTAAAGGAGCTAGAAAGCTAAAGATAGCTAAGCACATAAATGAAAATGAAAAATCAATGAAGAAAAACACCAGCCAACTTTAACAATTGCTGCATTTGTAAGGCTGTTCCTGACGTACCTGTGGGGACTTGTGAGAGCGCCAGCTGTACTGGTGACTGTGGAGACTAGCCAGCAAAATATTTTCATCAGTATCCACCTGGCCAAACCGCAGTGTCTCCTGTGTGTCATTACAGATCACAATATGGCTGAAGACCAACTCCTCTGCCTCAGGGCATTGGTTCTGAAAGAAAAAGAAATGAAAGCCAACAAGCATCAGATTAATTGCAAGATGTTTGGCAGCTGTCTGCCCAGTGGCTATTGTTACAACACAGAAACACTGTAAGGTCTTCTGTCCTTAGCTTTGGTTACAAAGTATTCTGTACTTCCAGCATAAGTACAAACTAGTGCAGGTTCTAAAAAGTATATCCCAAGAATATTTGGATTTATGTTCCTCTAACGTAAATCATAAATATCTAAAGCTGAAAGAAAAATTAAATCTTGTAACTTTAAAAAATGACTAAAGGAAAATAAATTAACATATGTTGGAAACAACATATTATCTGCCACAGACAGGGCACTGGAGGCTGAATATATAGCAGTACTCTAGCTTCCTGACAACAGATCTGTGAGACCATCAGGGCCCACATCCTCCTTCCCACCTGTTTCTTCTGCTTTGAAATGCTGCTGCGGATCATTCTGGAGCAAATCTTTCTTCCCTGAAGGCTTTCTTTTCTTATGGTGCAACACTTAAAAGTGGCAGGACAGAAGAAGCTGCAACTCGGAGTAGTTTCACAAATCCACAAGGTTAGTTTGAAAATACATAGTGCATTTTAATAGCCCAAAGGGCAAAATACTAAACCATCTAATGCATTTTCAAAAGAGCATTTTAACCTTTTAGAAATACTTTCCTTTCTTTGTAGCAGTCCCTCCCTCAAACATTTTATCTGGCTCCTTTTCAGTTCTGTTCTAAGGTATCACAGCAGTGGAAAAAGCAGCTGGGCATCTTTCCATCAGTTATTCTATTTGCACAATGGGTTACATGACAGTCACTATAAATTACCAAGGCCACAGGGCTTCCCTTCTGCAGGCACAAACTTCAATTCCCTACACAGAAGAGGCATTCAGTGCCAAGGCAGGGTTAGTGGTAATGCTGCCACTGTCCCCCATGGAAAGGTTTATCAGATGGAGCAACTGAAAAGTGCGCTCAGGGCCCATGTAGGATCCTGCCAAGGGAAGCTGAGTGAGGAATGCAATGAGTCAGCATTCCTGTTAGACGCAACAGCCTTCTCATTCCCTCATGTAGCCTTCTTGACTCTTATCCTGAAGCCCAAGGTCTGAATTGGATCTACATTTTTAATTCAACTGAAATAAAGTGACGCTTATTAAGCATCCCTTTTAGCCTTTCATACATTAAGTCAGGGGCCAGCAATTTTTACAAGCTGTGTGCCAGAACAACCCAGGCCAGTGTGGGCTGGGTGGCTTTGGTGGCATGTCAGTAGTGAGGGGGGTTTGCCTGCTCCTGTGCCAGGGACAAGCAGTTGCAAGCTGCACCCATTTCATCACTGCTTCTTCCCACCCCTAGGTCTCCAGCCCCCAGGGCAAGAGCACAGCTTCCAGCCAGAGGAGACAGCCAGAGGGGAGCTGTGTCTGCACTGCTGACACTTCTCCCCACCCTCCACTTCCTGGTTGCAGCACAGACATTGTGTCCAGCTGGTGAGGCATCAAGCTTGAGCAGGGAATCAAGAAACTGCTGCTACTTCTTCCTGCCTTCTCCCTTTCCCTTCTCACCCCCCACAGCTTCCTGGCTGCAATGTGGGCACAGCTGGAAGTTGCCCTGCCCCAGCTCAGTTCCCACTGGCTGGAAGTTGCAGCAGTGCTGTAGCTGGAGAGCTCAGGGCAGGAAGAAACAGCAGCAATGTGGGTGCAGCTTCCAGTTGCCTAGCTCCAGCGTAGCTTCTTCATGCCCAGCAGCTCGTTCCTCCTACATCTATATTCACAAGCTTCCTGAGTTCTTGGACAACAGCTTGGAATCAATAAAGAGCAAGGAAGAGACAGTATGTGTGATCAGAGAGTTCCCCATGAAATACTACTGGTACCTGCTACAGTCACATTATTATGAGAAACACTGTGGGCCAGATGTTCAAAGTTAGGTATGTGCCTAATTTACACTCACAGTTATGCCCAATTATGCTCCTGAATGTGGGTTCATGGCTTTCACTGAATTTCAGTGGGAATTCAGTAGGAACTAGGGGTGCTGAATTTGGTCCCTACTGTGACTAAAATAATGTAACTGAATATGAAAATGACTAGTTAGGTGCACTTGTATACAAAATTATCCAGCCCCTGAGAACAAATCATGTGTGTAACTAGGCTCCTAACACTCCATATCTGGCCCTCTGCTTCTTGCGAATTTCTCTGAATTATGCCGCACATCTTTCATGAAAATAAACAGAGCTTAATCAATAATGTAGTCAAAGTCCCACTTTTTGGAAGCAGTGAAACTCGCTACAGAGCCTTTGTATACATTGTATTCAGTAGCGGATTTGGGTAGGCTGACATTTGCAGTGCCACTTCAGAGTGCACAGTTTATTTTGGCATTCTCTAATGGTGGATCTATGACTTCTTATTGTCAAGCTGCCATACCCACATACCCATATATCTACCACAAACATATATTTTCTTGTTACAGCTTTACAAAATGCTCTTCTTTAAAGGGCAGATTTAAAATCCAACCAACTCAGTATGTTGTTATAGTTAAATCTGGATAAGACCTTAGGGAATTTTATAAAACTTTTTTTCCCCTCAGGAAACATCCACTAGATTTTTCTGGTTAAATATGTAACCAGAAGACTAAAACAACAGCAACATAAGACATTTCAACTACAGTCTTCTTAATGGAGTGTTAAAATAGAGCTTAATTACCACAGAAAGTAACTTCATGTATTTTCTAAAGTGCAAAAAGATTACCTATAGCTTGAACTCCATTTAGATATCAAATGCTGGCAGTGGTTACAAGTCTTCAATGCTAGAATTGCTACCAGCATCTACTGGTTTTAACAGCAGTGCTTTTCAGGAATTTGATACAACGGGCATTGCAAGTGTTGTGCTAAACTGGATTCTGTTGGCATAACTTGGGACACAGCATGCCAAGCAACAGCAAATGTACCTGAAGGGGAACTGCAGTGGCACAAAGCCCACGATACATGTTGGGAGTGTTACGGTGGCTACAGAGGCACCAGTGCCGAATAATGCCAGGCAGGGGTGGGTATGCTAAAGTTGGCTGGCAATGTGGTAATTCATCTACTTATTCATGTACTGATGGGATTGCTCCATATCCTATGCTGTAAATGAAAGGTGCTTTCCTTTAATAGGACTTGGACTGTGTTTCTCTAATGTAAGTCCCTTGGAGTCTCAATAACTCCTGCACCAGCATAGATTTATTTAGCCCTGAAACTCCTGCTAAAGTATGACACTAGACATGAGTGATATCAGACAACTAATCAGACCAACCAATAAAATATCTACTGGTATAGAGTCAGGTCAGTTTTGGAGAATAACTTCCACCTTTTCTAGAACATTCCTGGACCTTTATTTTCCCTCTCGGAGGCCTGGAACGCCTGCATATTCACTAGACTTTCCAATATTTTGTGAACCCTCTTCAGGGGAAAAAATGATGTACCATAGGTGTCCAAGCTTTCCCTTGCTCCAGAGGGATCATTCTCATTACCTAGAAGATCTTTCAGCTAACAGCTATTTCAAAGCATTCCCTGGTCTGGAAACAAATCACAGAGGTGTAGGCCTGGTCACGTCTATTATCTTTGTGCTTTGCAAGCCACTGTTCAATTGCGGAAAAATTGTGCAAATATTACTTTGTGTGGGTGTCTGAAGGAAAGACCTTCACTAAGTTCACACATCCTTTCCCAAATGTTCCTCCAAGACACAGCAACACATCTTCATCACTGTTACAATGAAGCTTAAGCCTAGGCTTACTACATGCACTGAAGTTATCATCTGGGAATTTAAATGGTAGCTACACACAGCTTTCCCCTTCCAGTGCTTGTGGTAGAGAGATAGGGTAACTGCTGTGATCAACCTCACTGGAGACCTTTAGCTTGAGACCATTTCTTAATTAATAGAGGTCAATCTGCTAGTAACAAAGTACCACCTGGTCCTTGAGAGGAAAAAAGCTGTACTAGTTCCTGCATGGTTAAAAGGGGAGTTTTAATACAATATGAGGGCTTTAGGAAAACATTTAAACAGAATGACCACAACAGAGCTGTTTGCATTTTTCGAAGAGTGTTCACTTAGTACTTGTATTTGAGGAGCTGTTCTCTCTGCTGACCCTTTGTCTAAGGAATTCACGAAACGCTGATGTTTTGAAACAACTTGGAAAGGTTTAAATGCTCAAATCCAGGGAAAAATATCCATTCTCTGTTTCACCATACGCTCTATATGATATCACTTAACAATAGCTTCTTAAGTTTCCCTATACAGTAATTTGATAATTAAAACCATTTTTACTTTTAGCTTTGCATTCAGATGTGCATTAGACTATTACTGCTTGTATTTAAACATGCATTTCATGTTATAAAAAGATTACACAGTGAAGCACAACATCAATAAGGGGCACTGTTTAAAAAAAGTGCTAATCCTCTCAGGTTTTTAGCATGTGACCTAGACGTGGAAAGCAAATTGTGTGCTTGGTGTTTTTTAGGCCTAATCTACTTTAAAAACTTTCATTATCATTAGAAAGAAGTCAATCCATATCTAGCAAACACAGACACTGGCAGAGGGTTCTGTTAATATTGAACTCTTGACCCAAAGGTGCAAGGCCAAATTGCTTCATGCTTCATCTGTCTGCCCAGTGAGTACAAAATTACTTGTCTCGGATATTAATCCAGAAAAAAAATATGTGGAGAATTCAAATAACTTTTCCTGCTTATTAAATTCATGTTTCTGGTTGGCAGCATTTACACTGTGCTCCATGTGAACACCACACATCAAACAATATGTATCACTGGGATATTCATTTCTCCCCCTTGTGGAGGTAAAACCACATACATAACATCTTGGTAACAATTAATTTAATAAGCAGTTCTGAACCCACTTCTGTGTCAAATGTCCTCTAATTTCAAAGTAGTGCAAGTTTTTAATCTAGAATACTCTGGGCTAGATACCCACCACATCAGAACATGGTGGCAAGTACCCTTGACATGAGAGGAAACGAGAAAATTACAGCAACAATTACAGAAGTATATCCTCCTGTGGCTCATGTTAACATTGCCAAATCCATGTATAAATCAGAACCAACTATTCATAGAATGTACCTGTCAGCAATATACTACGCGACATATGGCTCTACTTAATCAAATATACAATTCCATTTTTTCAACTCAGAATATTCCTTCAAGGCACTGTGTAGTCAGTCAGTCATTCACACTCTGATGTGGTTTAAAACATTTAAATATTTATGCACCATATTTTATTTATATGTATAACTATGTCTGAGAGACTTTTTTATCCTAAGAGGAAACTGACCTTTCTAAAGGCCATTTTGCAGTAGTTGCCACACATGTCTTTCGATGGTTCTAAGTCCAGAATATTCTGGGTTTAAACAAGCTATCAAACTCTCTTACATTTTCTGTGTTTGTTTTTTATTAAATGCATTGTTCAAAATATGACAAAAACAGAAATTGGAGCTACAAAGATTTTTGTTCACATTGATATTTGAGCCAGCTGTAAAGATTTAAATCACACTAGCTCTTGTTTTACGAATGGCCTTTGCAACAAGAAAACCATGGAATGCCCCTAAAAAAAGTTTGTTTTTTTTATATAAAACAGATGTTTCATCTTTTTTCTTGGCTTGTTATTGTAGTGCCATGATAGGTAATTAATTCCTAGGCTCCACATAGGTCTTCAGGCAGATAAAGAAAATGATTTGATTTTAGGTCTGTATTGGTGCAAGGGAATCACAGACCTTTGAGAAGTTATTGCAGAAGCTAGAGTCTCTGTGTTGGGCTTGGTCTTGACCATTCATATTGCATGTACACAATGCAGTATGAGACTAGTTCTGAATTTCAGTAAGGATAAAAGTAGTAGATGCTGGAAACAATACACTATACTACTCAAAAAGCTGTGGTCTTATGTATCACACATTGACTTTTATATTATTAAATATTTTATTTCAAAGATACCCTTGCAGTCAAATTCTGACTGCAATTATACCACTGTTTTATTTCATGGATGCCCCACAGTTAGCTTAGACTTACCCAAGTGTAACACATGTCCTCGTAATTTTCAATGTCTTTGGGTTGATATTCAATATCAAAAGGATTTATAATATAAAATAAATTTTTGCTAACTTGGCCTATTTTTTAACAGATTGTTAGTTTTCACTCTGATTTAAATTAATGAGAACAGCCAAAATGCAACGTCTTTCATGCCATTCTATTTGCATACCTGCTGCCACGCTTGAAGTGCTGTACTTAGAGAATGAACTGCATACTGCCCAAAGTTTATGAATATGGGGTCCACCATCACCAAGCAGTCCAGCAATTTTTCTGGTGTTCTGCTAGAAACAGCAATCTGCCCCCAGATTTTGAAAGGTTTCACGACACTCTGCAGAGTTACATTTCGGCACTCCAGAAGTTTACAGTCACCCTGAGTTGAGAACTGGATCTCCTGGAAGACTGATTCATCGCTCCACTGTCGAAGATAAGCATGTGGTTCTCTGAAGGAAATGATCATATATTCTAGTTCAGAGGGCACATTTCTGTCAGAGATAAATGGTTGAAGAAACGGTGGTGGTGCTGTGAAATAAGAGGACAAATATAACTATAATCCAATAGCAATACTACATGAAAGCTGCAGGAATATATATACTTTTCCATTGGAAAGAACTTTATACTTGAACAAAATGTGTAAAATACATGGGATACTAAAAGGCCTGAAACTTAAAGTTATTGGTGATAGTCCATAATGGATGCATCTACATGACACACTAACTGCACAGTAGCACATTACAGCGCCAACAGTGTACCATGCTACTGCACAGTATTATTAAGCTACTGCATGGTAGCATCACTAAAAAGGCATTCACTGGTGCTACTGCACAGCAATTCTGGTTACTGCACATTTATTTAGTACTTGATTATACAAGTAGTAAATAAATGCACAGTAACCACTTCACAATAGTCTCTTGTGTAGATGCACCCAGTATTTATTAAACAAAAACATAACTCTTAACTTGTGCGTGGCAGATAAAATGTACATAAAAATCCAGCACTGCATGGAATACAGTCAGCCAGACTGCTTTCTTGCATAGGACAGAATAAAGAATTGGGCCTTACACTGTAAGTCATTCAAAGTGGGGACCACAGTTCCATAACCTTGTGTGCATGTATGTGTGCAAGTGTGCACGCACTCATATTTATGGCAGCTTATTCATATCAGTAATGCTGACAATGTTGTACTTGTTGAACTGCAGTTCTGTGGACTAGAAAGCTTCATAATGAAAATTCTACCCTTGCTCTGATTAGCAGAGCATTCAAAACCACAAGCTTACCCTCCCTTTCATAAGCAACATAATGTAATCACTCAGAAACTTAAACCAAAACAAAGTCCAGAAACAAGATTGAGAAACACATATAATGGATTTCATGTTGTGCACTAAAGGCTCTATCCATCTTGTGGAGCGCTGAGCACTGTGGCCTGCATTTAGGAAAGCACATAAACACTTGTGCAATATTAAGCACTGGAGCAGCCCCACAGATGTTGTTATTTATGTTCCAGGACAACTCACGTGCTTAAAATTAGCATATATTCAAGAACTTTGCTGAATTGGAGCCAAAAATGTTGAGCATCTTCCAGGATTAAGTTCTTATCTTTCAAAAGCATAATGGATTCATTAAGTTTTCTGCTCCGTTTGGATAGTACCTAGCACAAGAGAACCCCAACACTTAGGGCCCGTAGGTGTGATAATAAAAATAACAGCATTAGCAGCATCAATTCAATTCTTGTTGAAAAGTGAAATAGCTGTATTTGATTTTAATTTAATTTTTGCTTTTTGCATTGTGTAATTTGACAGCTCCTGCATCTAGAACCAGAGTACAATTGCTAGAAACTTAAGTCCTGGTTAGGTCTTGCTGATGCAGAAGAAATTATTTACTACATTCTAAGCACTGAAATTATTTTACAAGATGCCAGTAAAACTGGATAAGTGGTATATTTTAAGGTTTGCAAGAAACAAAGAACTATTTATGAAGAAAGCTGTCCCACTCAAAGTTATCCAAGATATTTGCTCATCTTCCACAGAAAGCATTCCTGGCATTTGAAATCAGACAATAATCTAAAGATCTCTTGGAATATATTTGCTATTAATGCCATGACAGAGAGCACTGAATAAAAACATATGTAGTTCAAAAAGTAATCATAATTAGAATAATGTTTAAATCTGTAGTTCTCATAACTTTTTCAAGAGGTTGAAAAATCTATCATTTCAACAGTCCTGTAAACAGTGGAAAATTTAGAAGGTTGAACTGATGCTGTAAGATGGTTTGAAAATGAAGTGGCACCTGCTAGCACTAATCAGCGCTCAGAAATCTGGACTGCTTCTACAATTACTTATTCCCAAGTGAAGAAAGGAAGCTGACAAGCCAGCCACACTGCTTTTGGTATGCATGCTATCAATCCACAGAGCAGAAGTCATCAATTTGACACTGAAATCATTACTATTGGTCAGTCTTAGAAGTAGTTTATTTGAATGATAGCTGTTTGAACAAGGAAACTAATACTATAAAAGGCAAACTGATATGATTAAAACAAGTAAATCATAATTATATCATTTTATTATTATAAGTAATGAGGTACCTACCTGTGCCCAGTTGATCAAGATGATGGCAGAGATGGAGTTCCAAATGAGCAAACTGGATCAAAACACTAAGTGAAGGCACAAACCAAGGAGTAAAACAGGAGTCGACCCGGGTACAGGCTGCTAATGCTGTAGGAGTTACAAGCTGATCACATGCACTTTGTGAGCCAGATTCACTTTCTGAGCTGTAAGAAATAAATAATAAAGTACTACTTCAGTAATTTCTACCTTTTATCACTATAGCAGAATTTGACTGTTTGCTATTCTAGTTTTCTGACATGGCTAAAATCATTGTTTTAATTTATGGTTAATTTAAAGTTGGTGTATATATATTTTTTCAAGGAGAACTGGGCAGCAAGATTTCAGTCAAACAATTTTGATGTTACAATAGATCGAATTCATTTTACTCCATGAAACATGAATCACAAAAATAGGCAAATTATGCTTACAGAAATTAACAACAAAATATGACAGCTATGTTTAACTGCTTGTTAAACTACGTACCGCGTTAATTAAGTTGCCTTCATTTTTGTCCTTTTTCATTTTCAAGACATTACTTAAAAAAAAGCCTTTGACAAATCTCTGTACTATTATAAGTTCAGCACAGAGCCCTGTGACACCTACTATGACACAATAACTGTACCATTTAAAATGCCATCTCATTGGATTTTCTCTTGCTAGCAGCAATTCCTGACACCATGATTATTTCCAAGAATTGTCTTGCAGTCTCTTGAGAACAGCTAACACCACATCATGATCATTTAGGTTGCTAAGACACCATACAAGTATAAATAAACTTTCTAATTTAAGCCAAATCTATCATTAATACTACTTGTTCCTATTCTCTTAGCTATTTAGCACTTACAGTTTGGGGGTTAAAAATCCTAGGTTTTGTTGGAGACCAAAAGCTGAGTTTCTGTCCACACTTAAATACTGGTTTTGTTTTGAGTTTTAACTACACCTTCAATAATTCATGTTAGTCAGAATTTAGAAAATAATCAAGATATAAAAATTGTGACCAAAATCTGGACTGTAAATTCCAAAAATGTAACCAATATGTTGTGTATAGAGCCACACTTTCAAGCTTTCCAGGTATGAATCTGCAAAGCTGTGAATGTATGTGTGCCCAGAGGTTTCAGGTGCAGGCATCTGTGCTTATGCTTTAAATGCAAATATTTGTGTGCACACACAAGCTTAAATATCATCCCGTCTCGTAGCAAAGAACTACCATGACATTTTCTTAAGGAACTTAACGCCAACTATGGACTTGTGGACCTGATGAATTCTGGGATTCTTGAACATGTTAGATAAACATGCTTGTGCCACACATTTAATAAAGGTTTACTCAAGACATGTTAATTAGCAACAGAACAAGACAGAATATAACCCATAGGGAGGGCAAAGGAGGAGAGGAAGAGCTCCTATTTGATTTATGGTGGATTCCCTATGCTTTCTTTCCCTAATATTTAGGAAATGTTAAGTGTCACAGACACATTCACTATTGCAGTTGCCAGTGTTAAAAACACCGTCTTCAGTACAGCTGATTCCTATCATGCCAACTGGCATTTTTGGAAATAAATAACTCTTTAAGTGGTTTAGTGCAATGGAGTCAGGAGATCAAGGTTTTTTTTGGCTCTGTTACTTTCAATATATGCCTTAGTTTTCACCTGTGTAAAATGGGGACACCGATGCTTCTTTCTCAAGTGATGTAACATAAAAATGTAGAAAGCATTAGGCAAAAGCTAGTTACTACTACAGTAGACTAAAAGAGAGAAGTGAAGTGAAGGCTTAGGAGTCCATTCAGGTTAAATGCCCAAAGTTTAAATGCTGATCTGTAATTTCAGAAGAACTGGCAATATTGTAAGAATGTGGTGTCTTGTGATCTTTTGGCATATCTGGTTCTAGTTAAAGAGATGCATAAAAATAAAAAAAAAAGAAAGGAGAGAGAAAAGAATGAAAAAGTTCAGAACCTTAAAAATGATGTAATTTGAATATTTCTTAATTTATGACCCTCTCTGTATATATAAATTTAAATGGTACTACTACTGCTACTATAATAACCAAACCAACTCATTTATTTATGTTCTTGGTAACCACCAAGAGGCATTCTCTCCAAAGTAACTATCCATTGTGGTAAAAAGCAGAGCAATGTAGTCTGAAGCCTTTAAAGAGTGCCTCAAAGTTTCTCTGAAAGCAAACATTTTTCTTTTTAGGAAACCATCTTACTAATGACTCCAGGTTTTTCTTTCCTCATTTATTATTACAAGGGTATTTAAAAAAGAGCAAAATTCATATAACTCAGCTTCTTATTTATTATTTTATATGATGCCTACTGTTCTAGGGTCTTTGTTTGCCACCCCTGATCATAATAATAATTGCAAGGCAACATGACATGTTTGATGTAGGAGGACATGTGCTGGAAGCTTCACATCAGGGAAGTAATTTAAGTTATTTATCCATACTTTTCTCTGATCTCCTTGCCCTTCAAAGAATAGACCAGGTGGGGTAATAGTATGGAAGTCAAAATTTCAGGAGTAAAGCATTTTTAAAGGTTCCAATCATGTAGAATCATTTTAATATGAAAAAAGAACACCAGATCAGCAAATGAACAGAACAAACTGCTCAAACCAACACCACAACTTACAAAGTGATGGAATTCACTCTTACAAAGCTAGGGAAAAATACCATATTTACTTGAATTCAAGACACGGTTTCCCTAATCAGCATGGGTAAAAAAAAAAGCCTTATCTTATGTTTGAGTATTGGGCTAGGGCAGGTGGTGGCTCAGCATCTCCTGAGCCAGGATGGTGGTTTGGCAGGAGAAGGGGGGTCACAGGGTGAGCATGGGGGAGGCTAGGGGTGGGGTGGGAGAACAGGGGAGACTTGCATGTCCGGTTCAGGGGGAGCGCAGAGGAGACTGCACTGCCTGCAGATCTCCCTTGTCCCCAGCATGCCAAGTCTTAGATTTGAGTACTGGTCTGGCGTAGGCTACCACCAGTTCTCCCTGGCCAGACTGGGCTGAGGCCGAGCTGGGGCCACAACTGGTGCTGACTGACCCAGAGGCATAGGGGGCACAGGACAGGGGGCAGGCAGCAAGGGGAGCAGCTCAAGGGCAAGGAGGGAGGAAGCAAGGGCAGGCAGAGAGGACAAGTGCAGAGGGCCAAGGGGTGGGGGTCTGGCCTCCTGCAGCTGCTTTCCCAGCCACAGGAATGTGGGGAATGAATTTAAAATGACCTTCTACTAATTAGAACACATTTATAATTCCCGTGTATAGAATCTAATTACTGAGGGGTTGTCTTAAATTTGAAGTTGTCTTGGATTTGGGTAAATACAGTAGTACGCTAGAGCAGAAGAGTGAGTTTTTTTCTGTATGGCAGGATGAGCACAAAATGACTGTGTTTGCAGTGCCTGGGAACCCTCTGGAGGGACACACCTGGGTAAGTGGCAGGCTTGAGGGGCCTAATCCTGCCTGGGAATTCTTGGGGCATGCTAGACCAGGCCCATCGAGCCTGCAGAGCCCCTGCCTCAGGTGCCCATGCTCTCTCACCTTAAACAAAAAGATGTGGGCCACAATAAAGTGGCCCAGTCTATTACTACCTTTGGTTCAGCCACACATTTGAGCATTTGTGGCATGACAGAAGGCATGGGCATCTCTTTGCTTTCACTTTGTGATGTGATACAAATTTTTACAGCAGCATAAATGTGATGTCTGTTTCCACCCTAAGTCATTGAGCAGGGAGGCACTAACAGCTAGCCAATAGGAAATACCAGGTTCAAGGCTGTGTCTGAACTCCTCCACTAAGCTTAGATATCAGGCTCAGGGCTGCAAAGAAGCTGTTTCCATTCTGTCAGGCTGCAGACTGCTCATAGAGGAGACAACTATGTGAACCAAGATACCCTTACTTCCAGCAGCATGGAGTTCACTCTTAAACAACAATGGCAGGATGCCAGTGCCCACCTTTGGCCCAATAATTAGTGGGAAGAGCACTTGCCCAAGAAGTCAGGGATGTGGGTTCTAGGTGCACTCTAAGGGAATTCAAAACTACATCACCCACTTCCAAGAAGAGTGTCCTAACACTCTAGTTAGATAGGCAGGCATTCAAATGGTAAAATGGTAACCAAGCAAGAGGGAGGGAGTGAGTCTCTAGCCTCATGGATATAGCACTCTCTTGGGTTCCAGCCCCTGCTACCAGGATTATTTTGACCAATGGCTAATGTAAAATGCACGTGCAGTCTTGGCAGCATAAACAAGAACCTGGGACTCCTTGTTCCCAGGGACATAGGCAACTGGTAGGGGAGCCACAGGGGGGGCACATGACCCCCTGACAGGGCCATCCCCACTGTTGATGGCATCTGCGGGTGCTCGCCAGCTCCATCCGTGTCACCGCCAGCGTGTCTGTGGGTGCTTGCTAGCTCTGTCTCTGCCGCTGGCACCTGCGGGTGCTCCCCAGCTCCGTTCCCACCGCAGCCGCCAGCTTCTGCAGGTGCCCCCCCAGACTCAGGAGGCACCAGTCACCTATGACCAGGGATGTGCCCTCTTTACTGGGTCTCATTGTCACAGTGACTCTTGGTGGCTTTCTGGGCTTTTTATATATTTAATATGCAATAGTTTATGAGTAACATGTCCCAGGGGACTAAGTAGTGCAATAATGTCACTATGTACTAATAGTGGCACTAGGGGCCAAAAACCTGGGACTTTGTCTTCTCAGGTGGGTTGTATAAACCTTTGGCCACAGAGTCCCTAGTGCAAGTTATTCATCTGGCTCCATGAACATTGTACTCTTGGCTGCCTAGTGTCCTGCTTCAACAGAAAAGGGGTGAGGGATACAGCTGTATTTTGTATTGAGCTGCATGCATGTTCCCAGAATGCAAGAGTCATTAAGTGTACATTGACTTCACCTAAGGAATTGGGCAGAGCAAGAGAGGATAGGTGAGAAAGACAGGTCTAGTGATCGGTCTGGATTGCTTCTGAACAGGCCCCTAGCTTCAGGCTGCTGTGCTCAGGTTCTTTTCAGGTCAAAATGGAGGCACCTAATGAATCTAGGTGCTTAAGAGCTTTTTCAATTATTGAATATGGCCAATTTGGATCACTCTTTCTAGCTTATACCTGAATACTCCTTGAAGCCTGTTTAGGTGCCCAGGGGTTGATTTAGATATTACGCATAATACTATGAGTAGGAGGATC